ACAGACCAACTTCCTAGAAGGCGAAGGCTTGTCTGCTAACCCTCCTCTCTATTCTCCCTACTACACTCCAGTCAACACTCAATAAATGTTAATAAAAATGGAAAAAAGTAAGTTTCTGGGAGATTGTCAGTTCTTAAAGCCATGAAATGCTGTAGCATTTGCCCTAGAGAGGTATTCTCTCAAGCCTGAGAAGGAGGGTTAGGGACTATTATGTTACTTAACATCTGTAAATACAGGATTAACAGATGAAAGGATGTTTTTGTTAAGATGTGACAAGTCATCCTGTGCTTTACCTTCCTTTACTATGGAAATCAGGAAGGAACATAGACTTCCTAGCAATTACAGAAACTGACCAAGAAAACCACTTGATCACTGTGAGAAAAATCAGCTAGCTTCCGAAATCTCTCTGAAACCTTGGCTCCATTAACAAAAACAAAATCCGTGTTCATTAACATCTTCAACTTTGTCCTCAGAGCTTCATCCCAGGGGAATAGTGAATTATGCTATAAAATAATGAATGGAAACTTAAGGCACTTCCGCCTACCCAGCACTGCTTTTCCTCCTCCTTTGGACTGCACAGTGTAGTAAGCTGCACCCTTCCAACTCACACATAGTCCGGGGAAGTGTATTCCCAGGCCAATAACTAGACTCTTTAAGGTCAGCATTATGCAGAACAAACTCTTCCCTCAGGCCAAAGTACAGGCCATACACTGACCCAGACACTGAACACATTTCGAGATCATTTAAGCCCCATTTTAGCACCTCGGGATATATGTTTATAGAGAAAGATCAAAACAAAATTAGGGGAGGGATGTCTTTTCACAAAGCTCCTTCTGTGGTTACAGCCAAAGCTGCTACTGCCAATTTAAGGTTCCATCTCTCAAATAGATTGGGCGAAGTCCGGGAAGCCCAGCCCTGAGGTCTTGTCAGCACTAGAGGAAGCTGACCAGGCAGCTTTTGAGACTTGATGTAAAAGGGATATGGTCAAACATCCTGCAAACGCCAGTCACTGGGGGAAGGAGGAAAAGCCACGCCACGTGAGCCAGGGGAAAGCTAAGTTTGTTCTAGCCACTGTACCAGAGTCTGAGACACACATGTGCAAAAAGTGTTGCAAGAGAAGCCTGGTTATGCCTGTATGCTTGGGAACTCAGAAGGAAATCCCTGGAGTCTAAGCATCAGAGACTGAAGCAGAGAAGAAATATGAAACAGATTAGGGAGAGGTAGAATAAGAGTCAATAACATCCACAAAACTCTGCTTTTGGCTTTTCCTGTGCCTGCAAACACTGTTGCAAAAATTTTCCCCACAGGACAGATTGGCATCAAGATAAAGTCATGGTCCCCGAAATCCTACACTTTTCATGTCAATTCCAAGTCTCAAGTTCCAGTATGACTTTCAAACCTCTCCTCTCCGCAGACCTATTACCCCTCTTTCCTCTCCCGCTTCCTCAGTTTCAAGAGATGACCTTACCTGTTACTTCACAGAGGGCACTGGGAGTGTGGAGACCTGGGCTCCGCTTCAGCTATACTTAACCTCTCTCATCTCAGGATCCAGACCTGAGGAGGCAGGTGGCTAAACTGGAGATCCCGATGGCTCTCCTAAATTCTACCAGCAGCGATTTCCCACGGCTTGGATCTGTTCTGACAGGGCGAGATCTGGGACTGCATCATCCCCTCCCCCTGCAGGCTAGTCCAAGCTCCCGAGGACCCTTCTCTGCCCCACCCTGTCCCACCCTGCCAGGGACCACCTTACCGGCATCCGACCCCAGGACGCGGGTTGGGGGCTACGTGGCGCCAACGGCCTCTGTCTCCAGCAGCGTCTCCACATCCACCGCCGGCTCGGCGTTGTCTTCCTCTCTGCTGCGCGGGTAGGCCAGCAGACGCATGGCAGGAGCGCAGGCGGCCTCCACCTGGCGCACCTGCTCTCGGCTCAGGCGCTCACGCCAGGCGTGCACAGCCTCGCGGGCGTCGCGCGCGGACAGGTGGAAGGGCCGGTCCGCCCCGTAGGCCGTGCCTCTAGTCATGTTGAGCGCGAAGGTGTCGAGCGCAGCCAGCGCGCGCAGCCCGGCGAAGCGCAGCAGGCGGCGCAGCTGGGCGCGCGGCTGCCGCACCAGGTCCTCATAGCGCAGCCTCAGGTAGCGGCGCCGCAGCCAGGCGGGCGCCCCGCGAGCGAAGAGCAGGTCGCGCAGCCAGGCTTCGCAGATCACCTCCAGCGCTCCGGTCAGGAAGAAGTCTGTGCGTGGCGCTGCGGGCAGCGCGCGGGACGGGCTCCCAGGGCGAGCGCCAATCCCATGCGCTAGCAGCACGCGGTGGAAGCGGTCGCCCCTCTGACGCGTGCGCAACACCTGGATGCTCTCGCGTAGAAGCCCCTGCCTGGACTTGAGGCGCGAGTTGTGTACGGCTCGCGGGTCGCGGAAAAGCTGCACCACCTTCAGGTTGAGGCCCGGGTCACGCAGCAGGGGCACCAGCACGCCCAGATCGAGGAGGCGCACGTCCTTGATGACCACCACGGGGTACTTGCGGCACTCAGCCTCCAGAGCGCGCAGAGCCACGGGTGGGCAGCTGCGCTCGCAGGTGGTGTCTTCGACGAGGCCGACCTCGGCCCGGGCACGGGTCGCGCCGGGGCACAGGGGCGGCGAGCAGATGACCTTGTTGGTCCGCCAGCGGAAGAGGGCAGCTGTGGTGAGATTGGCCGCGCTCGGGGAGCGCGCGGCGGGATCCCCCGGCGGCGCATACAGCTGCAACACCGAGAAGTCGCAGCGGAAAAGCGAGCGCAGCATGTCACGCAGCGCGCCCTGCAGGCTCTCAGCATCGCCGGGATACAACGCCTGCCAGAGATGCCACATGGGCTCGTACAAATAGAAAACGTCCGGGTGCTGGTTAAAGAGTTCGCCTAGGAACGATGAGCCGGTGCGCCAGGTGGCATGCACATAAATGTGTTGCTTCTCACCAGACACCGCTTCCCCGGGCGCTGCTGTGAGGTTGCCCGGAGACCCTTCTCTTCCACAACCTGCTCTCCCTCCCCGGCCGCCGCCGCCTCCAGACTCCACACTCCCAGGCTGCGCTGCAGGCCCGGGCAGTGCCCGGAGCCCTTGTCCCCATCACGGCCACCATGCAGTATGGAGGGGACGAGCAGCAGCATCAGCGTGTACAGCACCAACAGCAGGGCGAACTTGCAGTACTTCCGGCGCCGCCGCCGCCGACCCTTCATCGTTCACCGAACTCCCTAGAGCGGGTGCGGCGCCCGTCCTGTCCCTTTAGAAATCTCGTTCCTAGTCCGCCTCTAGCCTCTTTGGGCCGCTTTGCTCCGGGAGAAGAGGAGACACAAGGGCTGTGCATCCACAAGGGGAAACTTGGGAGGCTGTGGTGCTAGTGGCGGCGCCCCAGCGGTCTCTCAGCTCAGCCACTGGAGAGTCGCCTATTGGCTGCCTTGGCAGTCGCCCGCCCCGCCTTCAATCCCGCAGTTTCTCCCCGCCTCCCTGCCCGCCAGGGTTAGCCCACTGCTTTGCCAGATATGGGCGGAGTTGCAGAAGGGTGGGAACGCCATCTGGGGCACACTCAGCCAGACCCCACCTTTCCCCAACCCCTGTAATGAAGTCAAGTCTTCATGAATTAACTTCAGGCAAGGGAGAGGCTCATATGTGCGGAATGTACACAGTGACGGGATGTGGACTCCACCCAGAGAACTCCGTTGCCTCTTCTGTTTCATGCCTGGCCAAATCTATCGTAGGCAGACTCGCCTCCACACTATTTAGAGCCGGGGGTGGGGGGGGGGCGCGGGGAGAAGAGGGAAGGCGGGGAGGCTGGTCACTATCTACATCCAGGGCCACCATCAGCCCCAGGATAAGTGTTACTGAGTTCTGGATGGAGAACTTCTCCACTAAGATAAAGATATATGATTGTACATTGCATAGTGTTCCGGGGGAATCGGAGGCACTACTGCATTCACGCGGCGCATTTAATTAAGCGTAGCCTTTGTGAAATTTTAAGTGTTGTGTTCCTTAGGATTTTGCCTCCTGAGGGGCATGCATATTTTACAGACATCCTAAGAATGTATTTACTCATTTGTAAAATGCGATAATTTTTAGCCTCTGTACCTCCTGTTGTGAATTTAGGAGTCATTTTTTATTACGGCATAACCTAGCCTATTCTAACACACGTGAGCAACAACAACAACAACAACAACAACAAACAAACAAAAACCATTTAACAGAAGCAGAGTGGGAAGATGGTGGTGTTTTTCCAGAACTCAGTGTTTAAAAGGACCCCAAAAGAGGGACATGTACTCAAGGATGGATGAAAAAGTGATAAGAAGTCCTAAAGGCAGATTAATCTCTGAGTTCCTAAAATCCAAAAGAGAAATAAAAAGGATATTTTTTGCTTTGTTTCGGCAGGATAATGAACACCCCCTTAGGGAAGGTATTGTAAAGTTAACGGAAGATAGAAAGGAAATTTCATTCCCACCAGGTGAAGGTGTTCAAATTGGAAAAGTCAGAACATCTCCAAAGATCTCCTCTGGTCTTTTTCATCACAGAAGGTACCCCACCTCTGAAATCACTAGTTCAAGCACCCACTTTCTGTCTACAATTCCCTTTCCTTTCAGCCACTTGTTCAACTCCTCTCTACCTTCCAACCTCATTGATCACTACCCACATTTTCTTCTCAAGTTTTCATATTTAGCGAAAAGACTCCTGACCATTATTTTAATAACACTTCTGCCAATAACCTAAACTCCCTGAACCTCTGTCTTTTCATTACTTATTTAGCCAAATCTCCCAAACCCTACTTTGGATTTCTCTGTGCCTGCAATCGCTGTTGCAAAAAGTTTCCCCACAAGACAGATTGGCATCAAAATGAAGTCATAATCATCAACCTCAAATGATCCCCCAAATTCTATACTTTTCATGTCAATTTCCAGTGTAAAGTTCAATTATTACTTTTTGAAACCTTCTCGGAAGAGAAGTCTATTCTCCTAAGGCCTCTGATACCCCTCGTTGCCCTCCCCATTCTCAACAGATGACCTTACCTCCTACTTCATAGGGAAAATGAAATTGTGGTAGATAATCTCTCACTTTTCCAGTACCAGCCCCATAGATCCACTTAGGTCTGTATCCATCTTCTTTTTGGCAAGGATATCATTTTCCAATATTAATCTACAATTTTTCCCTCCCTATGTTTTTACTTGCTCCTCCTTTCCTCTTTTAATCAAGTAAGTGGCTCTGCGCTCACCTGAGTGGAGGGATGTTGCTGGGGAGAATACAAAAGGTCGCTGGTGTTTCTTTCCAAAAGTCTAAACTACTTTTGTGGAGTGTGGTAGGTTTTAAAAATAACCGCAAAGTTTTCCCCTCCTCTCTCCTTGCACTTTGACAATGCTTACCCACACTGACTCTGGGATGGCCTTGTGAATTGCATTGGCCAATGGAACAGTAGCAAACATGACAGAGGCTTGAAAGCAGAGGCTTGAAAAATAAACTGAGGCTTGAAAAAAAAGCTTCTGCTGTGGGGATTGCCCTCTTACTGCTCCCAGGAACCTTGAGGCTAGCCAGAGAATAAGCTTTCCCAGCCGAGGCCCCGAGATCAACCACCCTGCCAACTACTAAACAATGAGAAAGAATATCCTAGACTAGTGCTTCTCAAACTTTGATGTATACATAAACCTCCTGGGGTTCATGTCAAAATGCAGAAACTGACTCGTTAGGCCTAGGTGGGGCCAGAGAGTCTATGTTTCTATTAAGCTCTTAGATGCCGCTGGTCTGAGGACCACACTTTGAATAGAAAGATGCTATACCCTCCCGGCCCAATAGAGATGACCCAGAAAGAAGAATCACCTAGCTGACCCACGAAATTGTGAGAAATAACAGATTTGGGTTGTAAGATACTAAGTTTTGGGGATTTGTTATGCAGCCAAAACTAGCTGATATAGAGAAAGTGTGAGGGCTTAGATGAAATATCTTGGAGAAGCAGAAGAAAGAACAATACTGCCCTCACTTAGGCTAGGGGTAAGTGAAGAGAAAGAGAAAATTCTATGGGCCTCACAGCAAAGAACACCTGAAATCGTTTTTCCTGGCTATGCATCAAGAAAGAACAGGACTCAAGGAAGAGTGGCTGAGTTCATCCTGAAAGATGATCAGAACAGAGACACTGTCCCAAACCTTCCTGGGCCACAGGCACAGCTTGGAGACAGCAGAAGGGTCACAGAAACAGTGATGGTGACATTTCAGGGGCAACTATGTGGACTAAAACCCAACGATCCAAAGACCCCATATAAATGGCACAGCTCTGGGAGTAGAAACACTCCCATAGACTCTCTGCCCCACCTAGGCCTAATGAGTCAGTTTCTGCATTTTGACATGATCCTCAGGAGGTTTATGTTTGAGAAGCACTGGTCTAGGATATCCTTTCTCACTGTTTGGTGGTTTGTAGGAATCTCCAAGGTAAATTATCTTTTACCCCAGCAGAAAGAGAGCTCAATGAGACATAAAGTTGTTTTCTATAAAGTGATTTCTCCTACACCAAAGTTAGTGAACATGTTACCCATTTTTTCTTTCTAGTACAATAGAGTAGGTCCATTTCTCCCCATTAATCCCCACTTCTTCCTCCTGTTAATTCAACCACACCCTCTTAACCAGATTATTCTCACCATGTGAGAATTAAATATAGTTATAAGTCTCTCTGTCTTTGAAAAAATCCCATTGATTCACATCCTCCTCTGGCACAGCTGCTGCTGACACATACAACACTTTCACAGGAATCAGAAAGTGTGCCCCCCAGACAGATATATTGCAAAAAGGAAACTGACCACATTGAAAAAAGTACCCCTTCATTCAGGCCACAGTTTATAGCTTGAGTGCAGACCTGCCTGGATTCCAGCCTGCACTTGCATCTTTTTACCAGGCACCCTTGCCACACCCTTGTCCCGCTGCCACTGGTTTCCCTGCCCACTCCTCACAGCCTAACTTCTTGGTGGAGTTGTCTATACTTGTTCTCTCTCAGCTTACATCTCCTACGCATTCCTCAACACGCTTTAGTCTGGATTCTGGTTCCCTATAGCTACAAAAGCAGCTCTTTCTAAGCTTATCATTGGCTTCCATGTTACTGAATCCAGGGGACATTTTCAGGTCTCACCTTATTTGACCTTTCAATAGCATTTAACACTGTTGACAGCACCCACCTTCAAATTCTTTTTTAAATTTCTATGATGTCACACTTGCCTGGTTCTCCTCCCACTTCAGAGCTGTACCTTCAGAGGACAGTGTTGGGGAGACTGGGCTCTGTAAAACAGTGATCCTAATAGTACCCACCTTGCAGGGTTATTGTAAGAAATAAATTTTATAAGATATATAGGTAGGTAGGTAGGTAGATAGGTAGGTAGGTATGTAGGTAGGTAGATAGATACATAAGGTAGAACAATGCATGACATGGAGTCAGCTTCAAGTATTGTAAGTTACTGTCATTGTTGCTGTGCGAAGTTCATCTTCCTTTACCTGGACATTCTATGTTAGAATTCATTCAGGCTCAGCCGTAGGCCCTTTTTCTCCTCACTCTATGGTTTTTTCAATAACCTCAGATCAGCATTTTTGGCCTAGACCTTTCCTTGGAGCTCCAGACCTAAAAGTCCAGTTGCCTACTTGACGTTCCCTCTTGGTTGCCTCAAGGTCATCTCAATTTTATCACATGATTGAGGAAAACCTCTAATCTTTATGCAATTAAAAATTTAGAAGTTGGTTTTGGCACTTCTCCCTTCTTCAGCTCCTCCTTCCTCAATCTAATTTGTCATAAAGTCAGGTTGGTTTTACTTCCTCAAAGCCCTTTGAACCCATCAATTCTCTTCATTGCCACTACTACCACCCTAGCCCTAGTGCCTATTCTCTGTCCCCTGAAGCATTGTAAAAACTGCTTAGCCAGTCTGTTTCCACTATGCCCTCCTCTGATTTTGAATCAGTGATTTATTTCCATCATTCTTCTGCTTAGAATTCATCATGGCTCCCAACTGATCTTTGGATAAAGACTCAAATTCTTAAGGCTTATAAATTATGTTGTTAAGAGTTGTTAAGAGAAAACTGGCCCCAAAAGGCATCACTTATGCTAAAGCCCCTGATACCAAAGCTAGATTTAAGACCTGATATAATTGCTGTTTCAACCTCTCCTAGAAACATAATCTTAATCAACCAGTCTGTAAATTTCTAATTAACACCAGTGAGGTAGGTGGGCCCTCTCCCTTCCCCATAGAAAGAAGAGGCAAAATGCCGTTTGTTTCCCCCATGTTATCTACAAAGAGAAATAGTTTTACTTCTGTTTTTCAAACTCTCATGCCTCTAGTTAATTTCTCTTGTCTGATTCTTTTGTCTAATACCTTCAATTTAATGCTAAATAGTCATAGAGATAATGGGTATACTT